AAATGGTGCCCAAGCCACCTCCTTCTCTGATCATTGGATTACCCTCCTTCTCAATCTTTCGAAATAGTCAGAAGTGCTTCTTCATGTTACTTTTTTTCCATATCAAAAATAAGAATATAATAATTTCCAAACTTATCTCTTGAGGTTTGTACCTTTGCCCCAGGAATTGCAATGCAAAGAAAGACTGTGCCAGGAACTGCTCAGAGATGCTTTCTTGGTACCCATGATGCTACTTCTATGACAACTGTTGCTCTCCCATGTCACATACCAGACAGGGGACACAGAGGAGTTAGAATTAAATCTTCTGGCAAGGATAAGTGACCCGAAGGAGGGTCTACATGGGGCATAAAGAGAAAGTAGCAAATATGACAATTTCAAGAAAGCCAATATGACAATCTCTAAGTCATGGTTGTGAGGACAGAGATAAAAAATGCCGCTGCTTGAGTACAATTGCCCTGTGGCATTAAAAAGGAAGCAGAGTGTCCACAATGACTTTGTCCCAGTTCTTTGAAGCCTGAGCAAGAGATAAACTTTGATATTCATTGTCTTTCTATTAGCATTCTCTTGTCTTTCTTTACACACCTCATTCCTTGCAGGAAAATTCCCCAGTGACTCCAAAGAGGAAACTCACAGAAGATATGAGAGTTTTCATCATCTGCAGAGCATGACTGGCTAAGAAAATATGAACAATGTGAGTCTATCAGGTATTGAGGAAGCCTGTGGAGGAGACATGCTTGACCATTTCTTGCGATGTTCTTCCATGAAGAAGTTAAATATATTTATCATGGTTGACCCGCGTGGATTAGAAGCATGATGTAATAGAATGTTGTGCTTTTTTTTTTCTCTCTGAACAACAAATATTGATGTTCTAAATATCAATTGATGTGTTTTGAGACTAGCAGGAGAGGGTATTTGTCATTAAACAAGATCAGTTTTGAGTTTACACTACTGATCTTCTCCCAGATCAGTAGATGACTTACCCCGAGGACCTTGGGTTCCCCTTTCAAGAATTTCTCTTTCATTCCTTTCCACAGATAAGAATGTGCCGGAACAGACTGTCCCATCTCGTGTACACCAGGGCCAGACCCTGGGATGGTCTGTTGCATGTTTTGAGTGGTTGTCATGGCAGCAGAAAAATACTACAATTAAAAAACTCACAATTTAGAACAGGATCCTTGAAAGAAAACAGAATATGAGCACTTTGAATGCATTTCCTCCATATAATATTCTCTGTTTATATTCTTTCATTAAATTACAAAAGATGAAAGGACATTTCACAACGTGTTAAAAAGAGAATCTATCACCAACATTCCTGATTTTCTCTTGTCTTAGGGAGAAAAGATGAGGCTTTCTACTCCCGTAAAGATTTACACCCTCGGAAACCCTGTACAGGGTCGCTATGGGTCGGAACCGACTCGACGGCACT